TGTTGGGCTGTCCAGCTGTAACTGGGCTTCCTTCTTTGATTTGGGCTCCTGCGTGGAGGAGGTCTTTGACTTGCCACTTTGGTCTTTTAACTTGGGCTGTCCAGCTATAACTGGGTTGGAGGCGAGCCGGCCAGCTGCTGGAGCAGGTGGCAGTTTGGGTCGGCTTATTTGTGGTTGATCCAAACTGCTTCAATTCCTTCTTCTTTTTATGTCACGAACTAGGAACAATATGAGTCAGGGCAGAGCACGGACATGTTGGAAGTCAGCGGCAGATGGGTAGGGGAGGTTGGCGACGGTCCGCTCGTTCCTCTCACCTACTGTGATGGTAAGTTGCATCCCTTTGATCTGCTACAGTAGCCATGGAATTCTTTACTGTGTGTCTAATTGACTTCTGTCTTCTGCTTGTAGAAAATGACATCCACAAGAAGCTCGATCTCGGCCCGAACACGATCAATGTTCATCAAGCTTTTAACATCCTTGCCAGGTTCTGTGGATTGCGCTGGTTGCTGAGTGAACATCAGAAGGAGGCTGATGGTCTGCCCCCAGCCGAAGATGTTGAAAGATGGGAGCTGCATGGCTCGGACCTAGATGATCTGCCAGTTGAGCGGGAGAAGTCCTCGAAAAAGCTTCCTCATTCTTCCACGAGCAAGTCTTCCGTAAGGGGGTCTCGTTTGCTGGGAATGTCCCTATGGGAGTTGCTTCTTCATCTGCCAGGATCAAGCGCCTCGTCAGCACGAACAGTAAGAAGATCAATGGCATGCAGAAGGTCTGGGACATTCTGCTCAGGTATCCGCTCGAACTGCCTAAAACCCATGATCTACCTTGTGAGGAGGCTGTTGAGAAGCAGAGTTTGAGCTGCTTGTGCCGATCTTGGGATCAAACTGAGAGGACTGTACATCTGTCTAGCAATCACGACTCGTCTGCAAAGCCACGAACAGTCAAGCACAGAGTTGACTCAATGTTGCGAGTTTCGGCCAAGAGAGCTAAAGAGTCGTCTGCTCGAGCAAAGAGTCCTTAAATTGCGCGAACTGCCTATCCAGAAGTTGGTGATAGCTCCGCTGGTCAAGTTTGACACTCATGTTGAAGCCACGGAGGCATCCAAGCATGAGATCGTTGCTAATGCGTACAAGCTGAGATACTTGGATTGCAGGAATAATGCTTCTCCTTGTTGCCCTCTCGAACATGAAGACGGTAAGCAGCTTTATCTTGACCTGCCCCCTGCTCAAAGTGAGCAGAGCAATGTTGTGGGTGCAGAAGCAGTTGAAGAGCAGATAGCAGATGAAGCTGCAATGGAGGAAGACAACTCCCAAGGTGGCGTAGCTGATAAGGCTAGGCCA